GTGTGGACGTAGCCTCAGTATATATATCCTCAGTCTAGGTCAGCAGCATCTCACCACCTCTGCCTCCTCCTGAGTCATCGGATAGTTGACTCAAGGCTTTTTTGATTACCCACCAAACTCCTTCCACTCCCGGGTTTTGTTTCCTCTGGACTCCCACAGGCTAAAATTTGATCATCTTCCTCCTTCTTTTAATCACATTTTATACTTGATTTTATTCTTTAAAACTAAACTACTGTTATTTCCAGTTTGGCATCAAACTTGTTCAATACTCATTGTACAAACTGGAACAGGCTCGTGCTCTGGGCCCCTCACGTGTAATGCACATCTTCATGTAAATGACAATAAAATGTCTCCACGTGGTTTAGACAGCATCAGCTGTTAGAGAGCAAACTCACACCTGTCAACACATTTGAATTCATTTAAGTAGGACAGTGAAAATCAGAAATACCATTAAAAGACATGTTTGTAACTCTAGAACTTCAGCAAATCGCAAATGAATTATACTTCATACACAGACCTGCACATTTTTTCTTTAATTTAAGATTAAATAAAATAAATGAATAGTCTGACATCCTGGGTGATAAATAGACTGGACAGGGCCTTATGTAGGACTTTCTACTACAAGCCTCTTTAAACTCACTGTTTGTTTTTCTGCTCTGTCTCCTGAGCCTATGCTGTTCACTCATTGACAGAGCTGGTTATTAAAACAGCTGCTGGATACAAACACACAAACTTTATCAGTCAGTGACAGAGGAAGATGACAGTAGTATCATAACAGGGTCATGTCCACCGACCTGGAGACACGAAGACAGTTTTTGGATGTGTTTAATAAATGTGTCCAATCTATTCACAGAGCACACGATGGCCACGCCCATGCAGGATGTTGGCAAACAGGTGAGTTTATTCAACCCGGCCTGGGTTCGAGTCTGACCCGCAGTCTCCCCCTCTCTCTGTTTCCTGTCAGTCTCCACTGCATCTATCTGATGAAGCCAGAAAATAAATTGGATTAGATGGACTTTTTAAAAATTGTCTACATCCACTAGTATTTATCTTATAATGGAAGTGTATTCCTGAAGTATACCATGAAATTCTTTGCATAATCAGTTGGAATGAGATACAGCATCAGCTCATGTCTTCTTTGCTCACGTCAGGTGTGGCGTGGGGCATTATTCATGGTGGACTTCATCCTCTCAAACCCAGTCATGTTAAGAGGAGCTACAGTCCTAGAACTAGGAGCAGGGACAGGCTTGACCAGCATCATCACAGCAACCATAGCTAAAGCAGTCTACTGCACAGGTACGATTGAAGCACGTACTCTTCTGTTGTTAAACACTGCAAACAACATTTACAAAGTAACAGCAACATATCGGATGCTCGTACTGTGGGCTTTGTTTCTTTATCCAGTGAAAGGAAAATAAAGATTGCAAACAAGGAGATGGGGTTAGTGAAAACCACTGTTAGCTGCTGTGGGCAGTGCAAACTAACAGCTCGTTCTTATTTCACACTCTTTCCAGGACTTAGATTAAATAACAAATATTTGACTGTTTGTTTAGGGCTTTTTTTTTTCATTTTTGTTTTACAGATGTGGGAGAAGACCTTCTACAGATGTGTAAGAGAAATGTAGCATTAAATAAACACATGCTGAAGTCTGCAGGTGAGAAAACTGTCAAATCAGCTACTCATGAGTTCCCTCAGTGTACAGACCACACACACAAACACAGACATACTGCTGGAGACCATGCAGCCAGTTTGGGCTCAGTATCTGTCCTAAGGACACTTTGCTGTAGCTCCTGAGCCACAGCCATGCCTTTTGGCTTTGGAATATATTTACGCACATATATATATTAGGGGTGCAACGATACACAAAATTCACGGTTCGGTTCAGTTCGATACTTTGGTGTCACGGTTCGATATTTTTTCGATACAAAAAAAATGTTCATGCCTTTTTAATTTGTCATTTATTAAATTTTCACAGCACATTCTGCACCACATCTCTGTGCGTTCATC